CTTTGCACTTACCTTTTGCGATCACTGGCACAAATCACCATAAATTTTTCATAAAGTAGATGTACATTATCTACTTAACGATCGTTCTTTAAAAATGATCTATTTGCTCAGTCAGACATTTAGCCGAAATTTTAAGTGTCCGTACGTAAGAACCACGCGTAACTCAGGCTGAATTTGAAATACTTAATTTGTACTTGGACAGGGTACATTTCCCATAAGTTTCAGCCTTCCGTCTTTTCTAGTTGCCGAGTCAGCAATCTTTCCGCAGGAACTTCCATAAGTCCTTACGTAAATACCACGCACAGCTTGGGCTGAATTTGAAATATTTGAGTTGTACCTGGACAGAGAATATTCTCCCAAAATTTCTGCCTTCCAGTTTTTCTGGATAACGAGTTGGCAATTTTCCCGCTAAAAATTTTACATGCCCGTAAGTGGGTTCCCTACGTACCTGGAAAGTTGAATTTGAAATTTTTGAATTGCACGTGGACAAGGAACATTACCCCAAAATTTCAGCCTTCCAGCTCTTCTGGTTGCCGAGTTAGTAATTTTCCTGCAAAACTTTCATGCGACCTTACGTGAGTACCATGCACAGCTGGGGACTGAATTTGAAATTTTTGAGCTGTTCTTCGATAGGGAACATTCTCCCAAAACTCCAGCTTTCTAGCTTTCCTCGTACCCGATTTATCAATTTTTCTTCTAAAATTTTTAAGCGCTCTTGCGTGAGTACCACGCATACCTGGAGGCTGAATTTGAAATCTTCAGCTAGTTCATGCACAGGGAATATTCCTACGAAATTTCAGCCCCTCAGCTCGTGTGGTTTCCGAGACCGCTTTCCCGCCAAAAAATTTGCATATTTTTTTAAAACGTCCGTACTCGCCACCTAGGCGCCCGCAGGGGATGAAATTAAAACGGGAGGGTCGCGCATGGTATGAGCACATATCCCCAAAGTTTCAGCTTTCTAGCTTTTCTGGGTCTCGAGTTGAAAGTTGGTGACAAAAAGTGCGAACACACAGACACACACAGACACACACACACAGACAGCCTCTTCTCAATATGCGTTTTTGCAATTTACATATATGCAAAAACGCATAAAAACGCACATTGTGACGATCTATGACGTGTGTGTGTGTGTCTTTCTGTTTGTCCGGGTATTTGAACTCGGGAACCAAGTAAGCTTCGGCGCTGAAATTTTGTCAATGGTACCCTCAGCCAGGTGCTACCCAAGACTACGATACCAACTTACACACAAGTCTGAGCTCCACGTACGAGCAAATGGAAATATCGACGGGAAAATTGCTAATCCAAGAGCCAGAAAAGTTGGACGGCTGAAGTTTTAAAAGGATGTTCCTCGTCCAAATACAAGTTAACGATTTCAAATTCAGCTCCGAGGTGTGGCATGTGAAAAATTTTGGCGAGACTGCTAACTCGGGAACCAGAAAAGCTGAAAAGCTGAAATTTCAAGGAAATATTCCTCGTCGCCGCAGTACTTAAGGAATTCAAATTCGGTCTTCAGATATGCATGGTTCTCACGCGTGGACACTCAAAAGTTTTGGCGAGAAAATTATTCGCTGTATTCGGTCAGTTTATTTTCAAAAACTGACCTTTAAACAGAATTTGTTCCTTTATGCAAAATTTATGATGATTTACACTAATGAGTGCAAAAGGTAAATGTACAGCAAGAACCATTCATACAGTTAACGACTTGACTGCTTCAGGTTTAGTGTAACCCAGGTAGAAATGCACCCGGCTTGTTGGTGCGATCATGCGTCTTTGCACCAGATTTGAAATACTCAGGTCATTAACTGCATGAGTGCTTTACATCTACCTTTTGCGCTCACTAACGTAAACGACCGTAAATTTTACATAAAGTAAATAAACAATTTCTATTTAACGGTCGTTTTTTGAAAGTAACCT